CGCCAAGACGCAATTCCTGAGACTTCAGCGCCACGAATCAACGTGACTGTTGCGTCCTGACAACCTTTCATCGTGCCAGAACATTACTGTTCCTGGGACTTCAACACAACGAATCAAGGTGACTGTTGCGTCCTGACCATCCTAGATCGTGCCGAGCACCATTCCTGCGATTTCAACCGTACGAATCCTCGAAACCGTTGAACACCTTTCAGATGAATGTTCGCGGCGCTAACTCCAGAGCCACACGTTGAAACGTAACCGGCCTCCATCCTTGAGGCTGTTGCAGACTTCTAAGGCGACTGTGAGCGGCGCTACGTCGAGAGCCACATGTTCAAAACGACCCGCATCCATCCGCTGAAACCGCTACAACTTGTTAAGACGAGTGCGCGCAGCGCTACAGCGATAGCCATACTTCGAAAAGGGCATGCCCTCCATATTCGAAGATTCCATATTTGAGTATGTTCATCGTTCACGACGAGTGTGCGCGGCGATGAGGCGAGACTCACATTTTGAACTGGATCCGCCCTCCATCCGTGAAGCTGTTGCGCATCTCAGACTTCAGGATCATAAATGGTGAAGAAAGCTCTGGCGACACGCCCGGCCCTCCCTGTCAACACGTCCGGGGGTGCGACAGGGAGGAGTGATTGAGAAGAACGAGGGATGGAGGATGAGAAGGTTGATTATCGAGGAGGAGGAGGAGGAAGAGCAGGAAGAGGAGGAGGAGGGGGACGAGGACGAGGAGGAGGCGGAGGAGGAGGAGGAGGAGGAGGAGGAGGAGGCAGTAGGCTACGGAGGAGGAGGAGGAGGGGGCGGAGGAGGAGGAGAGGGAGGAGGAGGAGGAGAGGAGGAGGAGGAGGAGGAGGAGGAGGAGGAGGAGGAGGAGGAGGAGGAGGAGGAGGAGGAGGAGGAGGAGGAGGAGGAGGAGGAGGAGGAGGAGGAGGAGGAGGAGGAGGAGGAGGAGGAGGGAGGAGGAGGAGGAGGAGGAGGAAGAGGAGGAGGAGGAGGAGGAGGGAGGGAGGAGGAGGAGGAGGAGGAGGAGGAGGAGGAGGAGGAGGAGGAGGAGGAGGAGGGAGGAGGAGGAGGGAGGAGGAGGAGGAGGAGGGAGGAGGGAGGGAGGAGGAGGAGGAGGAGGAGGGAGGGAGGAGGAGGGAGGAGGAGGAGAGGAGGAGGAGGAGGAGAGGAGGAGGAGAGAGGAGGAGGAGGAGGAGGAGGAGGAGGAGGAGGAGGAGGAGGAGGAGGAGGAGGAGGAGGAGGAGGAGGAGGAGGAGGAGGAGGAGGAGGAGGAGGAGGAGGAGGAGGAGGAGGAGGAGGAGGAGAGGAGGAGGAGGAGGAGGAGGAGGAGGAGGAGGAGGAGGAGGAGGAGGAGGAGGAGGAGGAGGAGGAGGAGGAGGAGGGAGGGGAGGAGGAGGGGGAGGAGGAGGAGGAGGAGGAGGAGGAGGAGGAGGAGGAGGAGGCGGAGGAGGAGGAGGAGGAGGAGGAGGAGGAGGAGGAGGCCGCCGCGGACGAGGCCGCCGCCGCTTCCCCCTGTGCAGGTGAGGCAGGGCTACGAGGAGACTCGCCTGGCTGCGGCCGTTGACCCTCTCTCTCAGCCTTTTTTTGTTCTCTCTCTCTCTCTCTCTCGCTATCTTTGGTTGCTGTCTCTCTCTCTCTCTCCTTCTCTCTTTCATTTATATATATATATACACATTTGTATAGATCTCTCTCTCTCTCTTTACCTCTCTCTCTCTCTCTTTCTCTTTCATATATACATATGTGTAGATCTATCTATCTCTCTCTCTCTCTCTTTATTATCTCTCTCTCTCTCTCGCGCTCTCTCTCCCTCTCTTCTGACTCACTTCTGACTCACTCTCTCTCGCTCTCTCTCTCTCTCTCTAGGCCGTCGGCCCATCCCGCCACCGTGCCTTGGTTGTGGGTCTGGGGCCTCTTGGATGTTGGTTCGGGATCTCGTCGAGGCCTCTCGGGGGCCTCCTGGAGGCAGTTCTGATGATTCAGGGGAGCTGTTTTGGGGTCTCTTAGGGGCTCTGGGTCTCTTTTGGGTGTCTTGGGGGCATCTTGGGGCCTGTTGGAGGCCTATGGGCGTCTCTTGGGGTGACTGTGGCCGTCTTGGGGCGGTCTTGGGGCCTCTTGGAACGTCGTGGAGCGCCGGGAGCTAGAAGAGTGAAGACCCCCCAGAACGGTGAAAGCAAAAAAAGCATCACCGACTTTGGCCGCTCGGGGCCCTCTTGGGGATGCTTATGGGGCTCTCTCGGGGCGTCTCGAAGGCTTCTTGGGCCGTCTTGGGGCTGTCTTGTGCGTCTCGGAGAGCCACTGGGCCGTCTCGGAGGCCTCTTGGAGCCTGCTGGGGGCTCCTTGGGTCCCTCTTCGCCCGTTTCGGGGCCCCGTTGGGCGGGGTCGCCGCCCCAGAGGCCCCTGCGACAGCGCCCGGCAGCGCCCAGTAGCGCCTGGGAAACCGGGGTCCGGGCCCGTCAGAACCTGAATTACAGGCCCTGTACCTCTCGGGGCCGCATGAGCCTCGGGGCGCTCCGCCGCGTGCTGCAGGCAGGCACGGTGGGGGATATATCATCTCGGCCTCAGGAGGCCCTCGCCGGCCCTCGGGACCGTCAGCAAAACGGCTCGGGATGAACAACCGGTCCAGGGGAATGGGCCGATGCAGTACCTCGGGGGTCGGGGTTATGACGAATCATGACCTCGGGATTCTGGGGGGCAGCGTGAATCATGAGAGGGTTTGCTCGAGTGGTCAAGCAGTGGCGAAGCGTCCTGAACTGCGTACAAGCTTACCGAATAATGTTCCAAGGAGGTGGATGAGAACGAGGACGAATAGGATGAATGAAGGATGAGCACGGGAAGGAGGAGCAGCAGCAACGCGCCGAGGGTACGGCTAATGATCCTAACGCTCATGTTTATGTCGATGTGGTCATTGTGGCGCTGATGCTGATGTTGCTTCTGTTGGTGGGGAGGTGGAAGACTATCATGAGGAACGTACTGCCAGATTTTGTGGATACTGGCTGCGTTTAGGATGATGGATAAGCTGGTTCTGGTGAACGTGATGACGAGAGGTCGAGGAGGAGGAGGACGAGGAGGAGGAGGAGGAGGAGGAGCAGCAGGAGGAGGAGCAGCAGGAGCAGAACGACGACGACGACGACGACGACGACGACGACGACGACAATAAGGAGCAAGAGGAAAGGCAGCCGGAGGAGCAGGAGCAGGAGCAGCATGAGCAGGTGTAGTGCGCAGGAGGAGGAGGAGGAGGAGGAGGAGGAGGAGGAGCAGCAGCAGCAGCAGCAGCAGCAGCAGAGGCAGGAGGGGGGGGGGAGGACGGGGAAGGAAAGGGGGAAGGGCGGATGAAGGAGGTAAGGAGGAGGAGGAGGAGGAGGAGGAGAAGGAGAAGGAGAGGGAGGAGGAGGAGGAGGAGAAGCAAGAGGAGGCCTCCTCCATCTCCGCATCCTTTATTCTCCAGCTCCTCGGTGCTCTGCTACTGCCTCCTCCTCCTCTTCCTCCTTCTCCTCCTCCTCCTCCTTCTCCTCGTCTCCTCCTCCTCCTCCTCTCCTCCTCCTTCTCCTCCTCTCCCTCCTCTCTTCGTCTTTATCGTTTTCCTCCTCCTCCCTCGCCCTTTGCCGCGTCCTCCTCCTCCTCCTCCTCCTCTTCCTCCTCCTCCTCCTCCTCCTCCTCCTCCTCCTCCTCCTCACCGTCATCATCCTCATCATCCTCATCCATCCTCTTTCTCATCCTCCTTCTCATCCTCATCCTCATCCTCCTCCTCCTCCTCCTCCGCGGTCTACTCTCAGGAGCTCGTGAATGCCATCATTAGGCCCCCTCGCATGATATACGACCCGAAGTCCGACCTGGGGCCGGCGGTCACTCCGCGCGCTGGTGGATCCAGGGGCTCGTCGCCGCCGTCGTCGTTACGTGGGGCGTTCGTTGATGAACGTGCCCAGGAGGATCGTCGTCGCCGTCGCCGTCGTCGTCGTCGTCGTTGTCGTCGTCGTCGTCGCCGTCGTGCGCCGGTGGATCCAGGGCTCGTCGTCGTCGTCGTCGTCGTCGTTACGTGGGGGCGTTCGTTGAGGAGCGTGCCCAGGAGGCTTCACACCACGCCTCACTTGTGTTCCACCTGCTTCCAGACTCGGCGGCGCTCCCTGGGGAGCACGTGAGAGGGAGCAGGCCTCCTCAGAAGGCGGCGGGGCTTCTCACTTCACCCCCCGGGCTCGCCGCCGACAGACCCTTCGACTGGGTGACGTTTCGCCGGAGTGACCTCATCAGACCAGACCCCTCACCAGAGGGATCCTTGCCCGCCGCCCCCACCGCATCCCTCCCCCCTTCAGGGTGGCGGCTCCCTGCTCTCCCGGTGAGCACGCCGCCTCTCTTCTTCTGGTGCTGCTGGAGGTGCCCCTGGCCCAAGGTGCCCCCAGGATTTCCACGGAGGCACCCACGGCCTCCCGAGCACCCCTCGCGAGGCCCAGAGGGCCCCGGGGGCTCCACGGTGGAGCGAAACGCTGGGGGCACCCTGGGCCAGGGGCGCCTCTTCGGCAGCCCCCGACCCTGGGGGTGCGGCCACGGGCGGCATGTTTGGCTTGCAGCCAGGATGCTGACATCAGGACCGCGTTGGGTCGGGAAGGGGCTCGGGGATTGGGGTCGTTTCTTCGATTTGTGTCGCGGGATTTGCTTGTGGCCTGGGCCCACGGTGGCCAGAAAAGTCCCCTGTATTTGGCGTTCCTTCTGGTAGCACCTCGACTGTATCCGAAACTGGAACATATGCATTGCCAGTGGCGGGTTTTGTTTCAATCCCCAGACTTTTTTGAGGGTCGGGGACGACGTCGGGGTCGTGTGTTGTATACTTTTTCCCCCGCTTTCCTGGGGAAACAGCGAACCATGTCTACACCAAGATCCCGTACACACCAGAACCCGCGTTCCTGTGCGAATTTCAGCGCAGGGTCGGGAAACGCGTCGGTGCATATAGAGTTCGTTTCCCGACTGTGCCCTCCTGCCGGCAGGGCGCCGTCGGAGGCTGCCCGCCCGCGGGCGCGCGCTGCCCGCGCGAGCGGGGCGGACGAAGCGCCTGCGGTCCGTGCCTGACCTCCCTCTCTGCTGCCCGCACAGCGGGCCCGCGCGCTGCTCCTCGCCCGTGCACGCCGGTCGTTGGCAGTGCAGTCGGGGCCCTAAAGAAGGAACCCTTTTCGTTGGGGAGGGGCTCGGTGTTCCTGGATTGTTCTGCAGTTTGCCTCCGGTTTTCCTGAGGTCTTCCATTCGAAATCGAAGTTCAACTTGTGGGAGAAAGGGGCCTCGTTCCTTATTTAGAGTTCCTTAACTTTAGGCGCCGTCCTGCTTCAATGATCGAGTGATTTTGCCTGATCCTTCCTTCTGCAGGGGGCGGGCGGAAGCCCGATCTACGTTCAACGCGCCTTCCTGTTTCATGCTCCTGCCCGCTGCTTCCGACCGGCGGGTACTGGTTCTACTTGCTCTACGCTTGCAGCGCCTGCAGCTGTTGCCTCAGCCCCTGGGTGTGAGCAAGATGCCGCTCCATGTCTACTGCCAGCACGCCTCAGCAGCGGCCAGCTGCCCTGGTTACTCCTGCCGATGTTCATCGCGCTCTGAGTGCCTCCCCTCTTTCCGCCCCCTGCGGCCGCCTTCCGCCTTCCTCTCCCCCTCGTGCCGCCGGACACTTCGTATTCCGCGCCCCGGACTTCTGGAGCGCGCGTGCGGATTACTTCTGCCGCGCTGCGACGAACAAAAATGCATGCTCCTGTTGCGGCTGGCGTTGCAACAGCGTGCGATGTAATGCTGCCGGCCCGCTTACGACATGTCGTCCCCCATCGTGGGGAAAGAGTTCACCAAATCAGCCCCGGCAGGGAGATGGCGTGCACAGAAGGGGCCCTCGTGGGGTGGGGGGCTCTGCTCACAGGGAGAGCGTGCTCTTCGGAGGTCGATGTTGCAGGCTGTCTTTGCAGCGCCAGCCGTATGCTTACTCTGCACCCTGGGGCCCGCCGTGCAATACACCCCTGGGCACTTCTGCTCGACTCTGCACCTCTCTGCTGCGGCGTCGTTGCATCTTGACCTGACGTGACGTTCAGAGAGGCCCGGCCTCCATTCGCCAATCGCTTTTCGCCATCCCTGCTACTAGTTCGCTGTTCACGTTCTTACTACCCTGGCCCAGAGTAGCCGGTGAAGGAATTCTCTCATTGGGGTGCGCGTTTTATGCGCTCTGACATCGAGTTGGAGAACAGCCGTGGGTTCTACAGAAGTCGCCCTGCTGCGCCGCATTCTTTGACCCTTTTGTATAGGGCTGTCCCGCGGAACCAATCCACGCCGTATCCATCGTCGGTGGTTCCAATGATCCCATCACATTCTGCCTTAGCCAGTTGTCGCATTGTCATGCATCTTTTGCCTTGTCGAACTGTCATGCGTTGTAGCTTCTGTTGTGTATCACTCCGTGTAAAGTAGTGGTGCGGTGGTGTTAGCGGCTGTGAAAGCAGTGCTGGTGACGGGGGGAGCGGTGTGATTTCGACAGCTCGTAGCAAATTGCCATGGTGAGCTGGGACAAGCGGTTGAGCACTGGGTTGCGAAGGGAGCCAGCAGCATCCAGCTTGCCAGGTGCGGCAGCGGCAATGCGAGATGCGCTCGCTGTCAGCGTCGCTCGCCTCTGCACCTCGCCCACGCGGACGCACTGCCGCGTGCTGCGATGCAGGTGAGGCAGACGTGTGCAGACAGCTCTGGGCATGCGCATAGGGGACGCAGCCGTGCGCGCGGCTCGGCGGCGCACGGGGGGGGGGGGGGGGTCCAGCACGGTGCAGTCCTCCGGGTCAGTTCAGGCTCCACGCGGTGCGCCGGCAGACAACGGGCCGAGCTCCGCCGCTGGCCACGGGGGAAGCGGGTCCTGAGGGCCCTGAGGGTCCTGAGGGAATCGAGTCCTGGGTTTTTTCCGCCGCTTTCGGGCTCTCGGGGCCCTCCACGGGCCCCGGGGCCGTCCGAAGACGGCTGAGGATGAAGAGCTCGTCTTGGGGGAAGGCCCACAGGGTCAAGGACCCGTTTCTCTCAGGACCCGCTTCCCCCATGCTCGAGCTGCAGCAGAGCCGCGATCCTTCAGGGTGAACGATCCGCGCGGTGTCAGAAATTGGTGCCGCAGAAGCTGTCGGGATGCAGAGCTGCCGTACGAACAGTGGAGGAGGAGGAGGAGGAGGAGGAGGAGGAGGAGGAGGAGGAGGAGGAGGACAAGGAGGAGGAGAAGGAACGGCATAAGCATAACCTTTCGGAGAGCCGTGCGGATTTCTTGGATCGGCGCTTGGCCCCCCTGGCGGAGCCGGCGCAGAGCGCCAGGGACGGGGCTCCAGCGCAGATCCAAGGAGTCCGCGCGGAGCTCCGAAAGTGTACAGTTGGACCGAGGCATACGGTCGAGGTCGGTTCGAGGAGGGTACCCTAGTGTTCCTCGTGCTTGTCGGATGATCTCGTGCATCCTGGGGAGGGTACTCTTGGATGTTCTGTTTGTTTTGGCCGACGGAGAGTCCCACGTTCTTGAGGCATGTTCTCCTGGCCCCGGTCCGACTGTGTATTTATGGCGCTTCTTGCTCCTCGAATCGCCGGTGCCCGTGCGCGTGCACAGGCTCAAGCTGCAGTGCTCGTGGTGGAAGTTCCATCCGGAGGACGGGGGCGCTGCGCACCTGCGTGCATCGGCGGCGAGCGAGGGGGGGAAATGAAAAGGAGAAGGCCTTCTCAGAAGGCGGCGGGACCTCTTGGAAGCCCTCGCGCCTTCTGAGAGGTTTTCTTTCTTCGGGGAAGGCTTAGAAGACTTCTCATAATGTCAGGAGAATTCCGAACCTTCTGAGGATGCCCGCCCCTTCTCGCTTCCCTCCCTCGCTCGCCGCCGAGCGGAAGTGCAGGGCGAGGGGGGGCGCTGCAGAGAGGGCCCCGCCTCCGGGCGGGTCCAGGGGTTGCCGTCGCTTCCTCGGCGGAGCGGGCCAGCGGTCCGTGCCATTGACATGGGTACGGAGAGAATGGATACGGTAGGTTTGCGTCGTGTCGACCAGCGGCGACCCCAGCGCGGGCGTTCAAGGTTGAACGCCGCCGGCGACCCAGAATCGATCGACGTTGAACGATCGGACGTTGCGGCAGCGGCCGATCGTTCAAGGTTGAACGATCCCTGCGGTGTCCAAAACCAACGCTGGGGTCGACGCGACACGAACCTGCCGTACCCAGACTCCCTCGGGCAATGAACATCGAAAAAGAGAAAACGCCATAGACCTTGGCGCTCCGCGCGGATCTCTTGGATCCGCGCTGGGCATTCTCGGCGGCGCCTCCGGCGCCGCCCCCAGCGCGCTGCGCGCGCCAGGGGGGGGGGTCTGGCGCAGATCCGAGAAGTCCGCGCGGAGCGCCAACAGTCTTTTGTTAATGCAGTTTTTTCTTCGTCCAGAACAAATCATGACGGAAGGTCATGATGTTTGAAGCCTGTGCCGTTTCCAAATTGATGTGCTGTCTGCACACCCTGTGGTTGCCTTCCAAGCTCGATGCCTTCCAAGCTCGATGCCTGCGAAGAATCGCTGGCATTCCTCCTATTCTCAGCCAGGCGTCCAACGCAACCGTGCTGGAGAGGTTCGGCAGGAGTCGCTCGACTTCCAGTTTAGCCTGCAAGCAGCTCGAACTGATGGGCAAGATCGCTTGTCTCCCAGACGACGATGTCTTACGACGAACGGTATTTCAGCCAGGGTCGTTCATCCTAGCCCGCCCTTTCGGGCCCCGGAAGCGAGGCAGACCGAGGAAATCATGGAAACGCAATGTGTTTGATTAGGTCTGCGCGGCGGCTGGTGGCCGAGGCGCCTTGCAGGGTTTATGGCTGCACAGACCTGGAGACGGGCGCCAAATCGCAACGCGCTATTGCTCATTGCTGTAGCACTCAACCAATGTGGATTGCTTTCTGAACCTGAAGTGGACAGTCGAGTACCCACAAAGACCGTAACTGCGTGATCGGTGAGCCTGCCCGTGCTGTTTCCTCCTCGCCCTCCTCCTCGCCTTCGTCCTCCTCCCTTCGCCGTCCCCCCCCCCCGTCGCGCCGGCCGCCGCCGCCGTCGTCGCCGTCGGTGTCCGCGCAGCGTCCTCTTGTTCTGGAGCCGCGCCTCCGGCAGCGGAACTTGTTGTCACCCATTCGCCAGCGCACCTCTGACGTGCACGTTTTTTTTTTGTTTTTGTTTTTTCCTCTCTCTCTCTCTCTTTCTCTCTCTCTCTCGGCCTCCGGGGGCCCCAGCCGGGCCTCGGGGCCGTCAAGTAACGAGTCAGGGTGGGGAGCGGCTCCAGGGGAATGGGTCGAGACCTTTGGGTGTCGACGTTTTTTTTGGGGAAAAAATGGCGTCGGGGGTTTGGGTGCGAAAACCGGCAGCAGTTCCTTTTCACTTTAAACAGGATTCGCTCCTGGTGTCGCCGCGGACGCGTTGTCCGTTTGAGACAGAAGGCCGCCTGCCAAACAGCGGCCGCTGTCGGTTTGGGACAACATTCCCAGACATGCGACGTCCTGATTGTTTCAATTGGGGCCCTTGGAAGTCCCGACTCTTTCCCTGGGGCCGGTTCTTCAGCAGGAATCGTTTTCTATCGGCTCCGAGGCCCGGCGGGGGCCCCCGAGGCCGAAAACGGCGAAAAAACATCCCGTCATGATTCGACGCGATCATGTCTGGGTTTGTTGTCGGGCATCGAACCGATTTTTTCCGTAGGGCGACTCCGCCCTCGGGCCAGCCCGCCTTCCTTGTCCCTGGCAGTCCCCATGGTTGTTTTTTCGTCCCGGACATGATCGCGTAAGAAAAAAACCAGGACGGCAGGTTTCTTCCCATACAAAGAAATCAGGACGGCAGGTGTTTGGCCGTTTTCGGCCTCGCTGGGCCTCGGGACCGTCAGAAAACGATTCGATAGGCTCAAACCACATCCGCCGACCCCTTGAATGGACGGGCGACGGACGTGCCAGGGTCGTGGGTGAACGGCGCACCGCAGTGTGGGAACGCGCAGTGTCGCGCAAGCTTGCCAGGGTGGCTGCCGCTGGCGAGGGGCATGCCTGTCGCCTAGGAAGCAGCTGTTGCGGGGGCGAACGACGACAATTCATGGGCGGGTGGTGCACGAGGACGACGCCGTGGGAAATGCCGACGAAGAAGTTTTGATGCACTTGCCAAGAGTCGTCGTCCCAGAAACCGATTCAGGAGGAAAAACTTGTTCCATGGAAAGGGTTGGGACTTCCAAGGGCCCTGTTGCGAAACAAATCAGGACGTCCCATGCTTGGGGTGGTTCCGCGACAGGATCTTAAATGCTTTCGCCGCGCCGTTCCCGGTTGACTTTTCATTTAGCGGGGCCCGCCACGAAATGCCCTGTCGCTGAGGCTTGCTGGCTTGTTTGGTCTCGGAAAGAGCAGGATGGCCGGCGGAAGCCGGCGGAAGTAAAACACGCGTTCCCCACAGATGGCAACATTTTTGGATTCAGGGCTTCTGGGGCGGGCCATGGGTACTGGGAAGGCATTGCCGCTTGGGTGCCCGTGGCGCGTGCGGCGAGGACACGGTCCGCGCAGTCAACCCGCGTAGTGCAAATTGTCAAGGCGACGTTTGCATCTTCTCCTTTCGGTCCTTCCTTGGCCACTTTCGCTGGCCGCGCCCCGTTCGAAAAGGTCGGCATGGCCCCCCGAGGCCCTCCATTTTTACCGCGCATCCTTATTACACGGTCTGACTGTACGTGGGATTGCGGATGTACGCCGGGGGTTTCTTTATCGAGTGCGGTGAGGATCGTTTGCTCTTCCAGCTCGGTCACGAGGCTGCGGCGGCGCTGTCTCCCTTCAACGTCTTCTGGCTCTCCCGTAGTTGCCACACGTTCTGCGCTGGGTTTCACCATGTTTGGGATGCCGTGGGGGCTGCGTCTTGGGGGGGCGCGCCAGTGCTGGCCAGCTTGGGAGGCTTTTGGGGGGCGTGGGGGCGAAACCATCGTGTTCTACGCTCTCGCGGCTCCTAGCGCCGACAACGTCGCACATCTATCCCCGCGCGCATGGGCAGGGTTGATGCTCGATGAAATTGACGGTCGGGGCGACACGCTAGCCACTTCGTCGTCAACCAGGCGTTCACGTCCCGAGCCTTTCCCAGCCTCCCACCCCGCGAAACGAAGCGACACGCCTTCCGTTGGCAAGGTATAGCATGACGCCGGGACCGCCGCCGCGACACGCTAAGCACAAGTTCCTGACCGCAGGTGCATGTTTTGCGCGTGCCGTCGTGCGGGGGGGGTCCGACGATTGTACTGACAAATTCCCGCTACTTCTTGCATTGTTGCTTGAATTTGCCGTAGTGTGATTGGCCGCTGCCGTTCTCGCTTTACCAGGGCGCCTTGGGATACAGTATCGAGTGTGCGGATCCTGCTGGGTTCCCGACGCCCCATGCGTTTATACCAGCTTTACGATACATCAAGATCTTGGTAGCTCCTGTATTGTGCGTGTTTTCTCCACCATCAACCTGAGTTCAATCCGTGGGCCCAGAGAATTTCGACACCTCCTAGCTCGATTTCGATTGTGACTCTAGCCTAATAGATTTGAGCATTGTACGAATCAGACGAGCAGCGCCCTGCCTGTTGCAGCTCGTGGGCGTGTCCGGGCTTGTGCAACGGCGGCGATTTCTGGGGCAGCGCGCAGGCAGCACCTCGAAGCGGTCCTGGATGACCCCGACGAGCAGCCCGCGCGGAACGCCCTTGGGGTGCGCCGCCGGAGGCGGCTCTGTTCGGGGGCTTCTGAACGGTGCGGTGGGTCCGTTGGGATGCGGGGCGGCCGCGTGGCTCTGGGACCTGGGCTGCTCTCCAAGGGCGTCTCGGGCGCCCGGGGCCTCCGAGGTCCAGGTCCCCAGGAGGCCCGCCGAGACGGCTGCCCTTCGGGGGCCGCCTGGGCGCTCCCCCCCCCCCCACGCTTTGCCGGTTGGGTGGCCCATCTGGCTAGAGCAGCCACAGACAAGAGCGAACCGAAGTGGGCACGATGCTTCGTTGACGGCCGACGCTCTGTCGTCGCCGACGGTGCAGGTAGCGGCGCCACGGCGGCGACGACCGCGGCGAAGGTGACAGTGACGGCGTGGACGGCGTGGTCGGCAGCTGCAGCGGCGGCGACTGCGCGACTGCTACGCTGACGGCCTGCCGGGCAGTTCGGTTCGACGCAGTCTTCGGTGCAAGATTTTTTCATTGTCCATGAGAGCTCGTACTTATGTCAGACCTTGGGCGTTCTCTTACGGTGGGGCCTGCTCTTGCCCTGGATGCCCTAGACTCGTAGCGCTTCGGGAGTGGCCCTCCGCTCCAACAGTGTGAGCGAGTGCCGTACAGTTCGGTGGTCCAAGGACAAATTCTCCCCCTCCTGCACCGTCACCCAGCAGACACGAAGGCGTTCGGTGATCCGACGATCCTTTTTCCCCCTCCCCCCCTTTCATCCCGCAGACGCACAGGCGAGCGCTGATACGAAGGCGCATCGTTTCGCAACGCTGCGCTCCCGGCCCACATCCGTGTGGGAGGCAGGCGTGCGATCCAATCGACCTGGCGGCGCATCTGGGCCGAGGGACGCTTAGGCAGTCGGGTGCAGGAAGAAACCCTGCCCTCGTCGTCGTCGTCGTCGTCGTCGTTTTCGTCGTCGTCGTCGGCTTTCGCCGGCGTCGGCTTTCGTCGGCGTCGTCGTCGTCGTCGTTGTCGTCTGCTTCGTCAGCGGCGTCATCGTCGTCGTCGTCGTCATCCTCTTCCTTGTGTCTCTTTCTCTTCTAGACGAAGGTTCGAGGCGATCTGCGCCCAGCAAGGACGAGCGGCAACGAGGAGAGACGGGTTGAGCGCGCGCCGAAGTGCGCCGCAGGGAGTGCTTGCCTCCTCCTCTCTGATCTCCGCTCAAGATTGATCCTCGGATCCCTCTTGGACAACCTCCAGTCGGCGGCGAGCGAGGGGGGGAAGCGAGAAGCAGAAGGCCTTCTCAGAAGGCGGCGGGACTTCTCAGAAGCCCCCGCGCCTTCTGAGAAGTTGTCTGAGCCTTTCCCGAAGACGCAGAAAACTTCAGAAGGGGACTTCCGAGCCTTCTGAGCAGGCCCGCCCCTTCTCGCTTTCCCCCAGGGCTCGCCGCCGAGATTCAGTGTCGATTCTGGCGGGCCCGCTGCGATTCGATTCTGATTTTCCGGCGATCCGATAAGGCTCCATGCTTGCGGGGCGCTTTCGTGCTTTCTTGCGAAGCACATCCGGCTCGGTGTCGACTCCGTGCCGATGCAGTCCGCTCCGACGCACATTCTGATTCGGGCGGGCTTCCCGATTCGATGCCGACTGAGCCTGCCTCCTCACGCATCTCGGGCGGGTGGTAATGGGGGTGAATTGAACTGGGGGATGAGACAAGGGCCCTAGAAGGGCCCTTTTGGAGACAGCAGGGGCCCGAAAGGAGCCTTCGGGGCCCTTCTCTGATCCTTCTCCTCCCTCTCCTCCGCCTCTTCCCCCTTCGTCCTCCGAAAATTTGTGTTTACCCAGTTTCTCTTCCTCTACCTTCTTGCTTCTGCCTCCTCCTGCCTCCTCCTCCTCCTCCTCCTCCTCATCCTCCTCCTCCTCCTCGTTATCCTCTCCTCCTCCTCCTCCTCCTCCTCCTCCTTCCTTCTCCCTCCCTCCTCGCCAGGACACCCCGGCTGCGCAGCTGCCCTGCGTCATCTACCTGCACGGCCCCGCCGCCGTGCCCCACTGCTGTCTGCGGCCGCCCCTCGGGATGCCGACGAGGGGGGGGGGGCGATGAGGAGGAGGAGGGGGAGGAGGAAGAGGAGGAGGGCGGAGGATTGAGAGGATTGAGAGGATTGAGAGGATTGAGAGGATGATGGTGATGGTGTTGGTGATGGCGATGGCGATGGCGATGGTGATAGTGGTGGTGGTTTTGATGGTGCTTATGATTGGTAGGAGGAGGAGGAAGAGGAGGAGGAGGAGGAGGAGGAGGAGGAGGAGGAGGAGGAGCAGGAGGAGAAAGACGACGACGAACGCCTCAAGGAACAACGTCCGTCTCAGAACGCGTAAATCCCACACCTCCTGCCGTTGTGAAGCTGGTTGTTGGCTCTCGAGGGGCCCTCATTGGCCCCCGGGTCTGTCAGACAACCGCTTGGGATGACGAGGCGGTCCCGGGAACATCTAGACCTTCGGGGAGACACGCTGCGTCTAAAGTTCGACGTCGAAGGCCTGGGATACTCGTCGACAGGAGGAGGAGGAGGAGGAGGAGGAGGAGGAGGAGGAGGAGGAGAAGGAGGAGGAGGAGGAGGACGAGGACGAGGACGATGAGGAGGAGGACGAGGAGGAGAAGAAGGAGGTTGACTGCCCATCAAGGAGAGGGAGGGAAAGTGTCAGGGGGTGGGGCGAGGGAAAAGTGGAAAGTTTATCGGAAGTTGGGGGGGCGTCAATCGGATGAGAAGCGGGGGTGCGCTTTTTGCACCCTGGGGTGGTGACGAGCACCCCAAGGGCGAGGAGGAGGATGAGGAGCTATCGAAGAAGAGGAAACTGCATACGAAGTAGACATAAACTTTCGGAGCTCCGTCCGGCCCTCTTGGATCTGCGCAGGGGCCCCCCGATTCGACACACATTACGACTCGGTCCGACTTCCCGATTCGATGCCGGCAGATCCTGCCTCCTCAAGCATCGTGGCTCGAGAGACGGGGGCCAATGCAAACGGAGGTCAGCCAGAGCGCCGGGCTTGCAGGATCTTGCAGGATCCTGCAGAGCTCGACTGACTAGGGTTTGTATGTACCCTGGCCAATAGAGCCCCTGACGCATCTCCGCCCAATCCCCAGATCTCTCCCAGACGTCTCCCGACCCGTTGTCCCTGCTGTGGCCAGCCGTGACCACAGAGGCCCCCCGGGAGGCCCCGAGGCCGGGGGATTGTGGAGCCCCTGTGGGTTTCAAACGATTTTTTACGATCTTTCACGTTGCTCCTCATCATTATTATGATATTTCCTCTCTCGCTTTCTCTCTCTCTCTCTCTCTCAATCTCTCCCACTCCCATTCCCATTCCCATTCCCAATACCATTACCATTACCATTACCATTCCCATCCCCATTCCCATTCCCATTCACATTACCATTACCTCTACCTTTATCTTTACCTTCACCTTTACCACTACCATTACCATTACCATAGCCATTACAATTGCCATTGCCATTGCCATTGCCATTCCCATTGCCATTGCCGTTGCCATTACCAGTACCGTTGCCATTGCCATTGTCTTGCCATTGCCAGTCGCCACCCCGTTACCATTACCGTTACCATTACCATTCCTATTACCGTTAGACACTACCATTACCATTGCCATTACCATTAGCATTACCAACACCATTGCCATTACCATTACCATTACCATTGCCATTGCCATTACCGCTGCCATCACCATTACAATCCCCATTCCCATCACCATTGCCATTACCGTTACCAGTACCATTTCCATTACCATTACCATTGCCATTATCACTACCACTACCACTACCATTTCCATTTCCGTTCCAATTACCACTACGATTCCCATTCCCATTCCCATCCCCATTACCATTACCATTACCATGGCCATGACCATTACCATTACCATTGCCATGGCCATTGCTATTGCCATTGCCATTGCCGTTGCCATTCCCATTGCCATTGCCATTGCCATTACCATTACCATTGCCATTGCCATCGCCGTTGCCATTGCCATTGCCAGTCGCTACCCCGTTACCATTGCCATAACCATTACCATTACCGTTACCGTCACCATTACCATTCCCAGTACCATTACCATTACCTCTGTCATTGCCATTACCATTACCATTGCCATTGCCATTGCCATTCGCCACTACCATTACCATTGCCATTCGCCACTACCATTACCATTACCATTGCCATTGCCGTTGCCATTCGCCACTACCATTACCATTGCCAATACCATTACCATTCACATTCCCATTCCCATTCCCATTCCCAATGCCATTACCATTACCATTACAACTGCCATTGCCATTACCATTACCATTACCTCTACCTTTACCTGCACCCTTACCCTTACCATTCCCATTTCCGTTACCACTACCACTGCCATTCCCATTCCCGTTCCCATTCACATTCCCATTCCCATTCACATTACCATTACCATTACCATTGCCATTGCCATTGCCATTGCCATGGCCATTACCATTGCCATTGCCATTGCCATTGCCATTGCCATTACCATTACCTTTGCCATTGTCATTGCCATTGTCAATCGCTACCCCGTTACCACTATCATTACCGTTACCATTACCAATACCATTAGCATTACCCCTGTCATTACCATTACCATTCGCATTGCCATTGCCATTACCATTGCCAATACCATTTCCATTGCCATTGCCATTCCCATAGCCATTACCATTACCACTATCATTTCCATTACCATTACCATTACCTTTACCCTTACCCTTATCATTCCCATTTCCGTTACCACTACCACTACCGTTTCCATTCCCGTTCCCGTTCCCATTCCCATTCCCATTCACATTCCCATTCCCGTTCCCATTCCCACTACCATTGCCATTACCATTACACTTACCATTGCCGTTGCCATTGCCATGGCCATTATCATTGTCATTGCCATTGCCATTGCTAATCCAATTGTCATTGTCATTACCATTATTGTTGCCATTGTCATTGTCATTGCCATTGCCAATCGCTACCCCGTTACCATTACCATTACCGTTACCATTACCATTACCAGTACCATTACCTCTGTCATCATCATTACCATTACCATTACCATTACCATTACCATTACCATTGCCATTGCCATTGCCATTGCCATTCGCCACTACCATTACCATTGCCAGTACCGTTTCCATTCCCATTCCCATTCCCATTACCATTACCACTGCCATTACCATTAGAATGCCCATTCTCATTCCCATTCCCATCCCCAATTCCATTACGATTCCCATTCCCATTACCAGTGCCATTACCAGTGCCATTACCATTACCACTACCACTATCATTTCCATTCCCGTTGCCGTTCCCATTCCCACTCCCATTCCCATTACCATTACCATTATCATTACCACTGCAATTGCCATTACCATTACCATTACCTTTACCTCTACCTTTACCTTTACCCTTACCATTACCATTGCCATGGCCATTACCATTGCCATTGTTATTGCCATTCCCATTGCCATTGTCATTGCCATTACCATTACCGTTGCCATTGTCATTGCCTCGCTACCCCGTTACCACTATCAGTACCGTAACCATTACCAGTACCATTACCAGTTCCAGTGCCATTACCATTACCATTACCATTACAATTGCCATTGCCATTGCCATTCGAGGATTCCAGTAGGAAGCATTCAGCGGAGGGTTTCAGTAGGAATCCACATGTGGAGGATTTCAGTAGGAATCATTCAGTGGAGGGTTTCGATAGGAACCCTTCTGTCGAGGATTTCACTGTGAATCCTTCTTATGGGGGCGTTCAATAGGAATCCTTCTAGGGGGAAGGGCAGATGTGGCCACGTCGCATTCCTTTTTTTTTTTTCTCCTGGCGTCCCCCCCCCAGAAAAAAAGGAGAAGGATGAGGAGGAGGAGGAGGAGGAGAAGGATGAGGAGGAGGAGGAGGAGGGAGGAGAGGATTTTCATTCCCCCCCCCCCCCGAAAAAAAAAAAGAAAAAAAAAAAAGGCGGATCCGCCCAGTTTTTTTTTTTTCCTGGGGGGGGGGGAGAGGGCCAAACAACGAAAATGGTATTGTTCCTTTTGGAGGAGGAGGAGGAGGAGGAGGAGGAGGAGGAGGAGGAGGAGGAGAGAGGAGGCCGCCACAGAGCACGCATATCTCATTGAAATAGACGCGCGAACTCAGTGTGAAAGCCTCCCTTTGGCGCCTTCGACCCCGAGGGGCTCCACAATCCCCCGTTCTCGAGGCCCCCCCCAGAAGGCAGAAGATAGCCAAGCTCCCTCTCCCTCCCCCTCCTCCCCCTCCTCCTCATCCTCTTCCTCCACCTCCCCCTCCTCATCCTTATCCTCTACCTCCTCCTCCTCCTCCTGCTCTCCCTTTCGAAGAATGGGAAAAAACAAAAAAACATACACAGTGCATACGCTTTCGGAGCTCCAAGAGGATTTCTTGGGTCTGCGCTGCGGTCCCCAGGCGGCGCCGACTCCGGCGTCGCCCCTCGTGCGCTACGCGCGCCGGAGAGGGGGGTCAGCGCCGATCCGAGAGAAGTCCGCCTGGCAGCTCCGAGCGCCAGTGTTTGCGGATTTTCTGTTCTGCTTCCGTGGTTGGGAGTACATCCATCTAGGCCTCCTAGATGGGGTCGGAGTAGATGGGGTCGAAGGATCGCGCCGCATCGCCGATGCATCGCCGATGCGGCTCGATGCGGAGTCCGATTTCCTTCATGCAGACGTCGCCGATGGGTCGCCGACGTCGCGGATGCATTGCCGGTGCATCGCTGATGCATCGCAGATGCATCGCCGATGCATCGCCGATGTATCGCCGATGCTGCGCGACCCTCCGAGCCCATCTACTCCGACCCCATCTACTCCGACCCCATTTAGGAGGCTTCTAATCCATCAGAAGTCATCAAACAAACCATCAGCTTTCATCGACTTCTGATCTCTTCCGCATGAGAAGCTCAGGAACCCAGGGTGGGCCCTGGGAGTTTTCTTGGAGCGTCTTGCTCGTGCAGTGTTCGTATGTCTGGACCTGGGCTGCCGTTTCAGAAGACGCCCAGGTTGATGCCCATCTTCTTCGCTTACGAGTCAAGTTTCGTACATCTGGGCCTGGGCTACTGTTCAAGAGAACGTCCAGGGTATGCCCATCTCCTTCGCTCAGACAAGAATTGCCGTATATCTGGGCCTGGGCTACTGCCCCAGAGAAAGCCCAGGGTGATGCCCATCTCCTTCGCGCAAGAGTTTCTCAACCAGCCAGGGGTGTACGCAGGGCTGCCCGACGAGGGCGGTGCCTTGCTGCCGACGGGGCGGAGCCCCCCCCAAGAGCAGCGAGAGGCCCGCGAGCCCAAGGGGCGGCTGCGCCTCGAGTCGATTCGGTTCGAAGTCGGTGGCTTCCGGTTCCGATTCGATTCGGCTTCGGATGCCGATTTGGACTCCGATTCCTCAATGGAGGCCCACTGGCCTGCCGATTTCCGCCGATTCGGCTTCTCCCGACTCGGCTGCCGATTTCCGCCGATCTGATTCATCTGGATCGCCGATCCGACGTATCGATTCGATTCTGGGCTCTCCTGCCATCTCCCAGACCCCCTCGCGTCGCGAAGCACTCACGAAGACCCCTCGCGTCTTCAACGAAAAGGGGCAACGAGAGTTATCTGGTTTTTCGGCCACTTGAGGGCCCTCGCTGGGCCCCGGCACCGTTGAAAATCTATCCAGGGCGAAAAGCCTGCCCCGGGGAACGGGGCAAGACTCGCCGAGCGCGTTTATATTCGCAAAGTGCCAAACTACTCGCAAGCGTCCGAGAAACACATGGCTGCTCCGATGCAATGGATCGTGCATCCCCCGCGGCGGATCCAGGCCATTTGCGAGCAGTTACCTTGCGAGTGGTGGAACGCGCCTGTCCAGAGACCTCGGGGGGTCCACGGCGAGGAACAAACTTGTGGCGTCGGGGATATGGGCTCAGGGGAGGTGGGGCCCCATCCCAGCTAGGCAGCTTCGGTGGGGAACTGGCTAGCGTGTCGCGCCGCCGATTCTGGCACCACCGCGCCTCGGCGCGCCAGTGCCGGCCAGCTTTGGAGGCTGCGGGGTCGGGGCTCACGTCGACCCCCAGAGGTCTGGACCTCTGGGACCAGCTTCTCATCCCGAGTCGTTTTCTGACGGTCCCGAGGTACCGCGGAAGGCCCCTGGAGGCCGAAAATAGCGAAAAACCTCCAGTAGCGTTTTTTTCACAACGCCAGGGAGTCTGGGTCCGCGCACCCTCTCCTTCCGGCGGAAGCCCTCGGAATGCCGGCAGAAGGCCGGCGGAAGGCGGGCGGAGCTGAAACGATTGCGGCTTCGTCAGCTGGAGGCCATCGCACGCTGGCGGAAGCAAAATTCGGTTCTCCAAAAGATCCGATTAGGCGTGAGAGGGACCTTTCGCAAGAGTGACCTTCGGTGCGGGCTCATCGGGGTCCCCCCGATCGCTGTGCGCGTTGCGGTAATGGTTACTTGCGCGTTTGGACTTGGCCACACTGCGCCCCCGTCAGCCGCGCACGAAAGGTCACTCTTGCCTGCGGCCGCTCTAAATGGAGTATCGCCGATGCCATCTCTTGAGGGTTCAGGGCTTCTGGCACGGGCCATGTGGGGGACTATAGGGCGGGGTTGGGAGAGACCCCTGCGGGACCTGCGGGTTCGCCGCCTGATATCAGCCAAACGCTGGCGGCACTGGGCCTGTGGCTCGGTTCCCTTCAGCATCGGGGCGCTGCACCTCCTCCTGCTCCTCCTCCTCCTCCTCCTCCTCCTCCTCCTCCTCCTCCTCCTCCTCCTCCTCCTCCTCCTCCTTGGAGGAGCAGGAGGAGGAGGAGGGCCTTTTGGTGGCACGGGCGTCGGTGGATCAACTAGATCAGCATCCCGCTTTGCGTCGCGGCGCGGCAGAGGCAGCCCGCGCGCGTGCTCGAGCGGTCCGGGCACCGGCAAGCGCGAATCAGCCAGGGGCAAGGGGAGAAGAAGAAGGCGGATCAGCACCCACACGGCCTGCAAGCAATGTGCGTGCGTGCATGCGTGGGTAGAAAGGGGGGGGACGAGGGGTGAGGTGGAGCCACGGGTGAAGAGGTGAATGAGCAGGAGGACGATTAGTTGGAGGATTTGGGGAGGAAGAGGGGGAGGCGGAGGAGGAGGAGGAGGAGGAGGAAGAGGAGGAGGAGGCGAGGAGGACTGGGCCCATCTGAATAGGCGGCGCTGTCTCTGTGATCTCGCCGGTGCGCGCGTGCACCCGCGTACTCGTTGAAGCACTTCGCTGAGAACACATTCGTGGTGTTTTGGGGGTTCGAGCTTCCCACATGGGGCCATCGTGGGCAGGATGCTGCTGCTCGGTGTTGGTACACCTGCTCTCGAACGCATGATCGTGGTGCTTCCGGGCCTCGGGCTTCCCGCGCGGGGTCGTCATAGGCAGGCTGCTGCGCTGCTTGGCATGTTGGCACGCGTGCTCTCCTGGGTGCCAGGCCCTCGCTCTTCTGGTTGGTGGACGGGGTGTGGAGGTGCGCCTGTGCCGGATTTCGGCTGACTTCGAGGCCTCTTGTGAGCGCGGAGGAGGAGGAGGAGGAGGAGGAGGAGGAGGAGGAGGAGGAGGAGGAGGAGGCTGGCGCTCGTTTCTATATATCACGGGCCCGCGGATGGGAACCTTTCGCGCCCCTCTCTTGGGAGCTGCCCGCACGGGTGCCGGCCGTCCCTGCTCCGACAGTGCCGCCCAGCAGTGGCTCCTCCCGAGGGCTTCTTCTTCGCTTTGGTACCTGGCTCGCTCCACGGACGCCCGCCGATGAGATTTTTGTCCATCCGCGGCCCCACCAGTCCCGACCGCTTCCCCTGGGAGTACAGTGGAGACCCATGCCAAGAAACACCCTGCTTGCCCTCCTGGGTTTCTTGGGTTTCGATGTTCTGTTCTATGGCAAGCGTGACGTTCCCACACCAAAAATTAATGGACGTCCTGGGGTCTCAGGGTTGGGTCTCTTGTTGGAGGTTTCTTGTGGACTGGCCTCCACTGTAGCTTCTGTCCTGGGTTCACCTTTGACAGCCCCGCGGCCCGAAGGCACCCCCCGGAGGGCCGAGATCGGAAAGAGTGTGTTCTACCGCTGCTGGCGGAGCCCGTCCCCCCGCCCCCCCTCGAAAACTGGGGGGGTCACTACCTGTTCGACCGCCGCCCCCCAGTCCATCATGAAAAGGAGGAGGGGGGGCTACTGGTTCGAACCCCTCCCCTTCGCCGCCGGCAAACGATTCCCGCTCCTCGGGACAGTGGGGCAGTGGTGGGGACAGTGGGGTGGTGGGGACAGTGCTGTGGGAAGAGTGGGACAGTGGTGAGGACAGTGGGGACAGTGGGACAGTGGTGGGGACGGTGGTGGTGAACTGGTGAGGGTGGTGGTGAGGACGGTGGTGGGACAATGGGACAGTGGCACAGTGGGGACAGGTGCGGGGACAGGTGTGGGGACAGTGGGGACAGTGGGACAGTGGTGGGGACAGTGGGACAGCACAGTGGGACAGCGTTGGGGACAGCGGTGGGGACAGCGGTGGGGACAGCGGTGGGGACAGTGGGGGCAGTGGTGGGGACTGGGGACAGTGGGACAGTGGTGGTGACAGTGGGTACAACTGTGAGAGTGGGACTGTGGTGGGGACAGTGGTGGGGACAGTGGGCACAGTGAGACACTGGTGTGAGTACTGTACTGGTGGGGACTGGGGACAATGGTGGGAACAGAGGGGACAGTGGGGCATTGGTGGGGTCAGTGCGACAGTGGTGGGGACGGTGGTGGTGGGGACAGTGGTGTGAGGACAGTGGGACAGTGGTGGGGACAGTAGGGACAGTGGGACAGTGGTGGGGACGGTGGTGGTGGGGACAGTGGTGAGGGCGGTGGCGAGGACGGTGGTTGGACAACGGGACAGTGGTACAGTGGTGACAGTGGTGGGGACAGTGGGGACAGTGGTGGGGACAGTGGTGGGGACAGTGGGACAGCTCAGTGGGACAGCGGTGGGGACAGTGGGGACAGTGGGACAGTGGTGGGGACAGTGGGACAGTGGTGGGGACAGTGAGGGGAGTGGAACCGTGGTGGGAACAGTTGTGGGGACAGTGGGGACAGTGCGACAGGGGTGGGGGCACTGGTGGAGACAGTGGGGACAGTGGTGGGAACAGTGGGGACAGTGGTGGTCGGGACGGTGGTGCTGAGGACAGCGGTGAGGGCGGTGGTGAGGACGGTGGTGGGGACCCGGGAGTCGTTTGCCGGCGGTGACTGGGGGGGGGGGTCGAACTTGTAGTGACCCCGTTGCCGGGGGGGGAAGGGGGGGGAGATGGGGGGGGTTGGAGCAGGAGGGGATTTTCGGAGGGGGGAGGGATCCCCGGGCTCAGGGGGAAGAGGGGGGTGAATTTTCAACAGTAAAGCGGCGGTGGATCACGCTCTCTCCGAGATCGAGGAACAGACGCCGGCCGAGTAAATCCTGTCGTCGGCGATGTGGCCCCGTCACGTGGCCCGACCTGCGCGTACAGGCCCAGCTGCGCGTGCCAGCCCAGGTGGCTCGTCACATGAGCCTCGCCTCCCCCCCAGGCAACGCGGCGTGCCGCATCGCCGCCATCGAGCTCCTGCAGCACCTGTTGCCGTGGGGGAGGGGGGGGGCGCGCACTGCGCAATTCATCGGCTGCTGCCGTCGGAGAGGCGGATCCTCGGCGGCGCTCCCAGGGGGGAAGGGAGAGGGGGCGTGCCTTCTCAGAAGGCTCGGGAGGCCTCCAGCCTTCCGAGAAGCTTCCTGAGCCTCCTCTGAAGACGCAGGCGGCTTCTCAGGAGGCCTCGAGGGCCTGGCACACCACTTTGCACTGCTCGGGATCCGGTCCCCATCGCCTTCTCTAGGCCTACCTGGTGGAGTCCTGTACCCATCAGTTGGGACGCTGGCAGTCTTCATCATCAGGTGTTTGCGCTGAAAAGAAATGCCTTGAGGGCCTGTGAGATTCTCACTGGCCCTCGAGGCCTTCTGCGGAGGTCTGCCCCCTCCCACGTCCCCCCCCCCGGCGCGCCGTCGAGGCCAGGGGACAAGCCACGGGAAGCACCTGTCTTAGGTCTCTTCGGGGCGGCGCGCCGGTGCCTGAGCCGCTGTTCCCGCTCAGCAGGGGCTCAGGCCGAACTGTGTTTTGTTGGCGGTGCCACGGGTCCTTTCGTTTTGCTTCTGTCTTGCAGCACGGGCGGAAGACAGAAAGAACGAGGGACAGCGAAAACAGCACGGAAACGGACAACACTGTTTGGGTCGAATTTTGCCGCTCATCCCGCAGCCCGTGGCTCTCCCCAGCGAGAGGGGTGACCACATCCACTAGTCGGTTCGCCCGTTCGGGCGCTGTCGACTCGTCGGCTGGTGGCAGTCGTGGCCAGTGGCGCAGCCATTCGATCGGATGGGCACAGGAGAATGCAGCAGGATATCAGTCAGCAGCGTGGTCATAGCTAGTCATGCTCGCCCCCCTGTGGGGGTCGGCTCTGGATAGCTCGCTTTCTCTATGAATTCGATGGCTGGCTGGCACAGGAATACAGGAAGCTGGCTCCACATTGCCTGCCGACCCCATGTCCCGATCCGTTTCCGAACGGCGGGATTGGCCACCCTCGGTTTCCATTCGATCGGCGGGGGAAGAGGAACGGAAAGGAGGTACGCGGGGTGACAAAAAGGTGGGGAAGGGGAAGCCGGGGGGGGGGGGAGAGCGGAGGGGAGGACGGAGAAGGGAGAGTGGCCAGGCATGGGCGGGGGATGGGGGGGGGAGGGAGGGGAGCAGAGAGGAGGGGGAGGGGAGAGGTACCGCCTCGCGAGGATCCGCACTCGCTCCCCGACGATCGGCCGCGACGGCCGACGGCCGACGACCGCGAGGATATCGAGGACCGGCAGCCGACGAAGGGCGGCCCCCGAGAGGCATAGGACCAAGATAGCCCAAATAGGCCTCCCAGAGCCCCCTCCGCAAACGAGACCCAAGAGTCAAGAGGGCGGCCACGTGAGCTCGTTCTCACAGCGGGCTCGAGTCCTGGCCGCCCTTGATTGGCAAGTCGGCCGCGCCTTTTGAGTGCGGGCTCAGAATATCACGCAATGGCCGTGCGCCCTGCATCGGCTGCGGTGCATACATACGCAGATACCCAGACCCCCTCGCGTTGTGAAAAGATCACGACTGGATGTTTTTCGCTATTTTCGGTTTCCGGGGGCCCTTACTGGGCCTCGGGACCGTCAAGAAACGATTCAGAATGAAAATCTCAGACCTCTAGAGGGGGTCGGCGTGTTGACTAAATTACGACGTCGGGGGGTTGGGTGCTTGATGAGGCTTTGTTGCCGCTGAAGCGCCGGTGCTTGCATTCGCAGCACCAGCAGCATCAGCAGTAGCACCGTGGCGGGGCAGTGGCGGGGCGTGGTGCACATAACAAGCCATGAGACGAGGGGGCAGGACACCGCACGCGAGTAGAGCGAGCCAATGATTGTTCAAAGCGGATCAGAGTATGTGACTCAGCAGGGGATATCTTTGCCGACTCAGGGTCGCCAGGACTATCGCTCTGTTTCGAGGCTCCTTGGTGGAGCTATCAAGCGGCATGTTCTGCGGTGCTAGAGGCACTCGCGCCCCCATCTCAACCAAGTGTTCCAGAGGCATTCCGTCGCGTGCAATGCTTGCCCGTCCGGGCCAGGGAAGGTCTGCGATCACAGTCTTTTCGCTGGACTTCTCGGGCTCCGGATTGTCCCTCAGCTGCTTTCCTCTTTGTTGCTCTATGTTGTCCTCTGTGAACAGCCAGAGCAAGTAATTACGCGTGACAGCAGTAAGCATGGGAGGTACGAGCACATCGCATCAGGACTTACAACTTGATCGATTTATTAGTGGGCATGATGTCGGTCGATCTCCATCCACGAGGACCATAATATGCTCGGCCGCTCGGCGTCCCGCAGTACTGCCATGCCTCGTGCCGAGTGCCTGCGTGAGGGCTCTCCCGCCGCAGGCTGACATGCCCACAGTGCTCCATGTGTCTGCAGTTGCCGTGACGCGTTCGTGGCTGGCGATGAATGGGCATCGTGCTTCCCAGACCCCCCGAAGTCGTGATTTTCTAAAAACGTCGACCCCCATAGGTCTGGACCTCTCCCCCAGGACAGGATCTTCATCCCGAGTCGTGTCTTGACGGTCCCGAGGCTCAGTTAGGGCCCCTGGGGGCCGTGTTTTTTTTTCACAACGCGAGGGAGTTTGGGTACGTCGCTGGGGATGAGTGGGCATCGTGCTTCGGAGAAACAAGGCGCGTCGATCTCCATCATCCCCGGGACGCCCTGGTCGGCTTTTTTTTTTGGGGGGGGGGTCACAAGCGCCGGCCCCCCGAGGGGTCCCCCCGATAGCTCTTGCGACCCGCTCGCCGCTTTGAGCTGGTCACTTGCTCCCGCGTTGCGTTCCGGGGGGCGGGGAAAAAAGGGTGCCTTGACCCGAGTCGGAGATCGACTGCAGAATCGATCTACCCCAAGATTGCTTTCTTTCGTCGAATCCACGATAGCTACGTCGAGTGAACCGTAGATCTACGATTATTCTACGTCTTGGTTTGCAAATTCGACGCGAAAATCAAGTCTGGGGTACATCGATTCTGTAGTCGATCCCCTACTCTAGGTCTCCTGGATGGGGTCGGAGTAGATGGGGTCGGAGGATCGCGCCGCATCGCCGATGGATCGGCGATGCGGCGGGTTTCTCCACGTCGACGTCGCCGGTGCATCACCGACGTTGCTGGCGCATCGCCGACGCATCGCCGATACATCGCCGATGCATCGGTGATGCAGCGCGATCCTCCGACCACATCTGATCCGACTCCATCTAGGAGACCTCTGTACTCAAGGACCAGGGGTGGGATGGACCCTCAGAGGTCTCGACCCCTTCTCCTGGATCGCTTTTGCATCCTGAGTCTCTTTGCTGACGCTCCCGAGGCCCGGTAAGGGCCCCTGGAGGCCGAAAATAGCGAGAAACCTCCCGTCGTGATTTTGTCATTGCCCGAGGGGGTCTCGGGTCGATGCCCTACTAAAGGAGCAGGGGTGCAATGGAGGTTTCGGCGGCCTTCGGGAGCTCGTGCTCTGGCGAGGCAGCCCTCCACGATTGATTCCCCCCCCGCCGCGGCACCCCCACGGCGATGGTGGAGGGAGGAGGAGAGGGAGGAGGAGGAGGAGGAGGAGGAGGAGGAGGAGGAGGAGGAGGAGGAGGAGGAGGAGGAGGAGGAGGAGGAGGAGGAGGAGGAGGAGGAGGAGGATACCTCCCCCCTCTCGCCCCCCCCTCGGCGCGCCGCCGACCGCCGCCGCTGCTCCGCCGCTGCCCCGGGGTGGCACGCTACAGTCGGGGCGCGGAAGAAGGAGCCCTGTTCGTTGGGGAGGGGCTCGGTGCTCCTTGCTTGTTGTTCAGTTTGCCCTGGCTGTTCCGCATGGCTTCCACCGGAAAGCCGAAGTCTCACTCGTGGGAGAGAGGGGCCTCCTTCCACATCTGGGGCTCCTCGGGTCAGCGCCCCGACTGTCTCGGCTCGCCGCGTGCAACTTGTCTCGTGCAGGGGGGCTGCCAGCCCCGCGAGCCGTCCCGGGCCTTCGACGCTCCAGCTTTTCCGCGCGGGCCCCCCCCCCCAAGAAGCCCCGGAGCTCTCCCTGGGGCCGGCCTGTCATTCGTCCTGGGCATTCGGCGGCGAGCGAGGGGGGGAATTGAGAAGGAGAAGACCTTCTCGGAAGGCGGCGGGACGTCTCAGAAGCCCTCGCGCCTTCTGTGAAGTTTTTCTTGTCTTCGGGGAAGGCTTAGAAAACCTCTCAGAAGTCCAGGTGACTTCCGAGCCTTCTGAGAAGACACGCCCCTTCTCACTTCCCCCCCTGGCTCGCCGCCTAAAGATGTCGGAGGTCCCAGGTCGGCATGCGGAGGAGTCGTGTCGGATTGGTGTCGTGTCAGGGTTTAGGGGCGGCCTGACGGACCCCCGGCAAACCTGCCCCTTCGGTGACGACCCCCGTGGGGCCCGTCACGAGAGTGCCTCGTCACGGAGGGGTGGGTCGGTCCGCGCCCGATCGCAGCAAGTCCTCCCGTGCTGGCATGATGCCGGGGCGCGCGAGAGCGCCCGCGTGTCCGAGCCCAGACGAGGGCCACCTGCACGGCGGGCCCTCTGCACGTGCGCCTCCTCTGCGAGTCCGCCTCCTCCCCGCCTGGCTCAACGCACCTCCTCTGCACGCCGGCTCGCGGTCTTCCGCGTGCTCTTCATCCGCAGCGCAGGGCGGCAAGTGCATCTTGCCTGCAGCTATAGCCCCATGCAGGACTTCCACCCCCGCCCGAGGAGGAGGCGCCCGCGCTGCGGTGGTGGGCCTCTCCCCTCTTCGCCCCCGCCGCCGGCTCCCTCGCCTCCCCTCCCGCTCCCCCCAGGGGCTCCTAGCAGTGCAGTGCCCGCGTGGCGCCATCGTGCTTTCACCCCAGAAGTCCTGACCCCTTCCCAGGGCCGGCTTTCTCCATCCCGATCGCCGCTTTCTGCCGGTGCCGGGGCGCGGCGAGGTTCCCACGGAGGGCGAGCAGGGCCAAGAGCCCCATCCAGCGTGCTGTTGTTCCCGCTGCGAGCATGCCTGGGCGGACCGCCCTGCGCGGCCGCGCGGCAGGTCGGGGGGCGAGCACGTGTCCCTCGGGTACTTCGAGCGCGAGGACGCCGCGCTCCCTCCCGCGCCCCCCCCCCTTCTAGCACGGGGGCAGCGGGTCCTGAGGGAAACGGGTCGGCCCTCCTCAGGACGAGGCCTTTCTCCTGAGCCGCCTTCTGATGGCCTGGGGGCCCGTGCAGGGCCCCGAGAGCCCGAAAATGGCGACAAGCCTCGGGACCCGTTTCCCTCAGGACCCTCGGCCACGGGCAGGTGGGGGGGGGTATTTCGGGGGAGGGGGGAAGGCTTCTCAGAAGCACCCCTGCTGCTCAGAAGGCGCGGGCCTTCTTCATGGATGCTGGGGGCCGGCGCCTGCTAAGAATCAGCCTCCTTCTAAGAAGCCTTCCCCCCTAGCCCTACCCCCTACAGTGGAGGCCCAGGCCAAGAAACACCCTGCTTGCCTCCAGGATGCCCAGGATGCCCTGTGTTTCCTGTGTTTCGTTGGTTTTGCGATGGAAGGCGTGACGCTCCCACACCAAAAACCCATGGACCTCCTGGGTCTCCAGGGTTGGGTTTCTCGTGGAAGGTTTCTCGTGGCCGGGCCCCTCCCCCGACCCGCTGGTCGACTAGACGTAAGAGTGACCTTTCGCCGGAGTGACCTTTGGTGCGGGCACAGATGGGCCCCCAGATGGCTGACAGCGAAGCGGTAGCAGCGGCCTGCGCGCCCAGGTGGAGCCCCCCCGCGGCCCCCCAACAAAGCCGCGCACCAGAGGTCACTCTTGCCCAGAGGTCCCTCTTGCGTGTCGCCGATGGCGCGCGCCGCCAGTGCCCCCCCCCCGCGCTCCCACCCCCCGCCTTGGCCGCAGATGCCCACCAGGGGCGCCGTTTCCGGGGGGCTGCCTGCCGCCGGGGGGCCGCCGCGGGGCCGCCACGGTGCCCTCGCGAGCACGCTCCCCCGGGGGCACGCTCCGTGGCGCGGGGCCCCTCTCACCGAGCGCGGTGCACACTGCTCGCAGAGAGTGCCTGCTCGCAAGCGTCCGGAAAGTCGGGCGGGACGAAAAGGGGCGGGATTGGGAAGGGGGGGGGGGTACGAAATCTGCTGCATGCAGCTGGCTTCGGCCTCGCCGCCGGGCCCATTCCTCGATACACGGGCGCCTCCCGGCGCCGGGAGGCGCTGGGAAAATCGGCTACGTGAGCTGATCCTCAAACCCTCCTTTGCTATCCCCCCCTTTTCGCCCGGCCCGAGAAAGCACATGTCTGCACCAGTGCCACGCATCGTGAATTTCCCATGGCGGATCCACGCCATCTGCGAGTAGTTACTTTGCGAGTAGTGGGACGCGCTCGTCTACCCCTGGCACGTCGCGCGGCGCGTCCGCTGGCACGTGCCGTGGCGCGTCCCCTGGCACGTCACTGTGCGGCGCGGCACAGCGCAGAGCAGCACGACAGCCCCTGGCACAGTATCACCACCATGCAAGATATTTTCAGCACCGCCACCACGCATCGCCCAATTGAGTGCCTCGCAGTTCTCAATCACATTCTGGGTTCGTGGGTCTACCATGGTCATTCCGAGTCGTTATTTGACGGCCCCGAGGGCTGGTAAGGGCCTCCAGAGGCCGAACATAGCGAAAACCCTACCGTCATTTTTTGTTGTTGTGCGAGTTGTTTTTTGGCGGTCCCGAAGGGCGGCAGGGGCCTCCAGAGGCAGAAAATGGTGAAAACCCTCTGGCCATGATTTTTGTTTGGTCCGATGGGGGGTCTGGGTTGTGAACATATTTTGGCGGCGAGGGAGAGTGAGAAGGAGAAGGCCTTCTCGGAAGGCGACGGGACTTCTCAGAAGCCCTCGGTCCTTCTGAGGGGTCTTCTGTGTCTTCGGGGAAGGCTCAGGAACCTTCTCAGAAGGCATGGGGACTTCTGAGCCTTCTGCCAAGGCTTGCCCCTTCTCATTTCCCCCCTTCGCCCGGCGTCGACGACGACGACGACGACGCCGACGACGACGACGACGACGCCGACGACGCCGTCGCCGCCGCCGCCGACGACGACGACGACGACGCCGCCGACGACGACAGCAACGACGACGCCGCCACCGCCGACGACGGCGACGCCGCCGCCGACGACGACGACGACAATGACGCCGATGCCGATGCCGACGCCGACGCCGACGCCGACGCCGACGCCGACGCCGACGACGCCGACGACGCCGACGACGACGCCGACGCCGACGACGACGCCGACGCCGACGACGACGACGACGACGACGACGACGACGACTATTGCCACCACGACGGAGGCGAGCCCTGGGGGAGTGAGAAATGGCGGACCTTCTCAGAAGGCTCGGAAGTCCCCAGGCCTTTGAGAAGTGTTCTGAGTTTTTCCCGAGGACGCAGAAAACTTCTCAGAAGGCGCGAGGGCTTCTGAGAAGCCCCGCCGCCTTCTGAGAAGGCCTTCTCCGTCTCACTCCCTCAACTCGGGCGTTCCGAGAGGTCTTTTGTCTTCTTCGGGGAAGGCTCAGGAACATTTTCAGAAGGCCTGCGGACGTCTGAGCCATATGCCAAGGCTTGCCCCTTCTCATTTCCCCTTCTCGCCTGGCGCCGAACTACAACGACGACGTCGACGACGCCGACGACGACGCCGCCGACGACGCCGACGCCGCCGCCGACGACGACGACAACGATGACGCCGACGACGCCGACGACGCCGCCGACGCCGACGCCGACGCCGATGCCGACGCCGACGCCGACGACGACGACTACGACTGCTGCTATCGATCACGTGGGAGGGCTGCGTGGGAGGGCTGCCGAGAGTGGCCGCCGGGCCGCCCGCCTCCATGGCCGCAGGTGGGCCCGCCGGAGGCCGCCGCGTGGTCCGCGCCGGGCCCCGCTCGGGCCGCGGAGCAAAACGGGCACGTTCGGCTGCACGCAGCCGCCCGTCCCGGTGGTTCTGCGGCGCGAGCATGAGTGGGAAACCCATGCCGCCCTTTTCCCTTAGGTTAAACTCTGAGTTGCCATAGAAAGCCGAAGGAGCCCCTGAGAAGCACTACGGAACGATCAAGGAACACGGAGCCCCATCCCCAACGAAAAGGGCCCCCCATTCAGCGGCCCGACTGTACAGTTATTCGGCTGCACGCAAGAGCGACCCTGGGCAAGAGTACCCTCTGTTGCGCGGCTTTCGGGGGCCGCGTGGGGGCCAACTCCGGGCCCGCACGCCAGTGCTGGGGTGGCCCCTTTCGGCCCGCACCAGACCCAGACCCCCGATGTCGTGTTTTTTCGCAGCGTCGGCCGACCCCCCAGAGGTTTGTACCCCTTCCCCAGGGCTGTTTTTCTCATCCCGAGTCGTTTCTGGACGGCCCCGGGGCTCGGCAAGGGCCCCCGGAGAGGCCGAACAGGGGGAAGAACTTCCCATCGTGATTCTCGTCATAGCGAGAGGGGGTCTGGGCTGCCTGCTCAGCTCCCCGGACGTCGGTTCCCAGGCGGTGGATACGGAGAAATCTCCGCCTCTCCAGGCCTCCCAGATGGGGTCCGAGCAGATGGGGTCGGAGGATCGCGCCGCATCGCCAACGCATCGCCGATGCGGCTCGACGTGGCGCCCGCGTTTCCCCACGCCGACGCCGCCGGCGCATCGCCGATGCGTCGCCGATGCGTCGCCGATGCATCGCCGATGCACCGGTGATGCATTGGCGAGGCGGCGCGATCCTTGGACCCCGTCTGCTCGAACCCCATCTAGGCTTAAGTCGTGCGTGTCCCCCTACAGGGGGACTTTCGACGAAAAATAAACAATACCCCAACAATACACCAAAAAGGTCAAACAATACTTAAAAAAAAGGCCCCCGACTAATTTTTTATTATTTTTAAATTCTTTTGTGGGTATTTCTTATTTTTCGTCGAAAATCCCCCTGTAGGGGGACAGGCCCGACTTAATCCGGGATCTAGGAGGCTTCTGGCCTCGCACCCCCTGCGCACACGCCGCCGGGACGCTCCAGTGCGGCCTGCGAGGCTCGGGCCAGCAGGGCAGAGCGTGCGCGCAGGCGTCTGCGCCGGCCGGCCCCGAAGCTCCTGGCTGCCCGTGGGAGGGACCTCTCGCCAGAGGGACCTTCCCAGACACGATCGCGTCGAAAAAATATCAGGACGGGGGGGGGGTTTGCCAGTTTTCGGCCTCGGGGAGCCCTCGCTGGGCCTCGGGACCGTCAAAGAACGACTCAGGATGAAACGCCGGTCCCAGGGAAAAGGTCGGGACATCCAGGGACCCCGTATTGAAAAAATCAGGACGTTGCATGTCTGGGGAGTGACCTTTCGCTGGAGTGACCCTCGATGCGGGCCCACAGGGGGCACCCCAGCACTGGCCGGGCCTTGATTTGGCCCTCTCGCGGCCCCCGAAAGCCGCGCACCAGAGATTTGCCCAGGGTCACTCTTGCATGCAGCCGAATACTGTACAGTCGGGTCGCTGACTGAGGAACCCTTTTCGTTGGGGAGGGACTCAGTGTTCCTTGATCGTTTCATAATGCCTCTTAGGTTCCCCTTAGGCTTCCTGGAGAAAATAGAAGCTTCACCTGTGGAAAAAAGTGGGCCTCGTTCCTTATGTAGGGTTCCTTATGACAGCGTTTCGACTTAGGCAGCAGTGTTTGATGTTGTTTCGAACGCCTGGAGCTCAGATGAGGAGGACGAGGAGGGGGCAGGGGACCCCGAACCACGGCGTCGGGATCGTTTCATGCCGTCTACCCCCAGCGGTCGGAATCCACTCCCCAGGACCAGTTTTTCCTCACGAGCTGATTTGTTCACGGCGCCGGAATCATCGGCGGCGGGCCCAGGGGGGAAGTGAGATGGGGCCAGCCTTCTCAGAAGACTCGGAAGTCCCCGGCCTCCTGAGAAGTTTTCCAAGCCTTCCCCGAAGTCACGGGGAACTTCTTAGAAGGCGCGGGGGCTCCTGAGAAGCCCCGCCGACTTCTGAGAAGGCCTTTTCCTTTTCACTTCCCCCCCTCGCTCGCCGCCAAGGAAGGGCCTCCAGAGGCGGAAGATAGCGACAAACTTGCCGTCATGCTTTTCTCAGGGCCCGAAGGGGGTCTGGGGAGCAGGGGTCGACCGAAAAGGTGTCTTGGCGATTCCGTGGGCCGTTTTCGTTTTGATTCCGTCTTGAAGCCAAGGCGGATTGGAGACAACATTCGAAGAAGAAAAACGCCATACACAAACTTGTGGCGCTCCGCGCGGATTTCTTGGATCGGCGCCGGGGCGTCCCTGGCGCGCTCCGCGCGCCAGGAAGGGGAGTCCAGCGCAGATCCAAGAAATCCGCGCGGAGCGCCAAAAGTTTCTGTTTACGGCGTTTGTTGTTGTTTTTTTTTCTTCTTCTTCTTCTTCTTCTTCTTCTTCTTCTTCTTCTTCTTCTTTTTCTTCTTCTAGAGGGACAACGAGCACAAAACGAAACCGGAAAACACGGTTTGGGTTGATGCCTGCTGGGGAGCTGGGCCCCGCGGGCGGGGGCCGCGAGCGGCGGGGGGGCGGCGCCCTTTCGCCTGACGCGAGGACGTGGAGACCGTCATCGCCTACCTCCGGGAGAGGGGCCCCGCAGCTTCCTCTCGGGCGCGGTGTGTGACGGACGAGGGGCGGAGGAGGAGGCGGCGGCGGAGGAGGCGGAGGAGGAGGAGGAGGAGGAGGAGGAGGAGGAGTTGGCTTTCCCACTTCTCGTCCCTCCTCCTCCTCCTGCTCCTCCTCCTCCTCCTCCTGCGTCATTCCTCTCTCCTCCCTGCTTCCTCCCCACTCTCCCCTCCGTCCCCCCTCTCCCCTCCCGCCCTGTTCCTGCGGACGCTCACCGGTCGGCGCCCACCATCTCTCTCCCTCCACATGCCCATGCACGCAGCGTCCCCTTCCTCGCGGCGCGTTGCGTGCTGCGTATCGGGGCAATTGAGATCAGGACGGAGGTTTTCCTCAATGTTGGGCCTCTGCTTGGCAGGGTGGCCGGCTTGCTGATCTTTACCAGCGGCTGCATCACTTACGCTCTCTTGCCACGAGTTGCTGCATCCTTGCCAACTTGCTAGTTCGCCCTTTACCGCGCGGACCTCAGGTCAAGATTACATCAGGCTGCTGATGCGCTTAGCTATCTGCTACCGAAGGGTACGCTACATCCGCGCGTTGGATTAACCATGTTCGCTACACCCCGTTCAAGCAGGTCATCTACATTCCTACCAGGTTAGTGGCACCAGCGATGGCAGAACTTCCAAGGGCCCATGGGACAACATCTGATGCCCGCTCCCACGCACGCTCGCGCGCTTGCCCGTGTGTGGGAGCGCGCGCGGGGGGGGCGGGCGAGGGAGGTGGGAGGGGGAGGACGACCCAGACCCGCTCGGGCCATGAACAAAATCACGACGACCGCTTTTGGCCAGGCGATCGCAAACATGGATCAAGGGGGCGTGGATTGGCGACGGGTCCCGTTTCCACGGGAATTCGCGGATTTCCGCCGCCGAGGGAGGCGGCACCGGCCGCATTTTGGGGAGGGCACCTCCCCCGATCCATGCATTTGGCGACCGCGCGCCAGAAACCAAGGATCGCTAATCCATGTTTGCGCGCCCCCCGAAAAATCACGACGATCGGTTTTGGCTGTGGTTTCGGCCTCTGGGGGCCCTCGCCGGGCCCAGGAAGCGTCCAAGACGACTCGGGATGAGGAACCGGCCCCCCGGGAAAGGGCCTGGACCTCCACGGGCCCCGCACTGAAAGCATCCGGACAGCGCATGTTTGTTTGGTCGCAAATCATGGGGGCCTTGCAAACCCACGCAATTCCGTCTTTCGCGTCGCCTGGCGTCGATTAGCGTCTGGGAGTCGATGAGAAAGCGCCGATTTAGCGTCTGCTTGCATCGATTAGCGTCGATTTAGCGTCGATTAGCCTCGACTGGCGTCGATTAGCGTCGATTCGCAAAAGCCGACAAGATGGTAGGGGAGGCTCCCATGTGTTGCCACCGAATGTTTGGGTCTCTGCGGCTTGCGTGGGCGCCGAGCGCCGGGCCGGCCCAGCGCTGGTGCAGTTCTGCATGGCGCCGCCAGCCCCAGGCATCCGGCGCCTCTCGAACAAGACAGGGGCGGACGTCTTCCATGGCGTTCGGCCTCTCGAAGCCCTTGCGTATACCGGGCCTCGGGACCGTCCAAGGAGGACTCGGCATGGAAAACTGGTCCCGGGTGGTCGAGAGGTCTGGGGCCCGTGTCCCGAAACATCGGGACGCCGGATGCCTGAGGGGGGAGCCGGTGGTCCTTAGGATCTATTTTTTAGATCCTGCCACAGGATCTATTTTTTAAGCCTAGATCTAAAAAAATAGATCCTGATTGCAGGATCTATCTTTAACCATGATCTATTTTAACCCAGGGCCCGGGGCCCGGGGCCCGGGGCCTTTCTGAGGCTGCTGCGGTTTGAGTGTAGCGGACCCTTGTGCTTCCTCGGGGCTCGTGCCGTCCGCGGACCGCGTGCGGCAGGTTCGCGCCGCGTCGGCGCGGCGGCGACCCCAGCGCGGGCGCTCAAGGTTGAACGCCGTCGGTTGCCCAGAATCGGCCGACATCGAGCGATGCGCGCTATCAGAAAGCCGCGATCGTTCAAGGATCACGGCTTTCTGATAGTGCGCATCGACCTGCCGTACTGACCAACCCAGACCCCCGACGTCGTGACTTTTTCGCAGCGTCGACCCCCCGAGGTCTGGACCCCTCCCCAGGACTGGTTGCTCATCCTGAGTCGTTTTTTGACGGTCCCGAGGCCCGGTAAGGGCCCCCAGACTCCAGAGTACGAAAATAGCGAGAAACTTGCCGTCGTGATTTTTTCAGAGACAAGATTGTGCTTACTGAAGTTTCGCCTCAGCTGCTGAAGACGGTTCTCAAGAAAGCGGTTATTCGTGGGCTGCAGTGGGACCTGGGGGCCAAACTTAACCTGAATGGGAGGGCGTGCGTCGACGGAGGTTTGAGATGGCTCCAGAGCTCTCGGCTCAGTCCCTTTCAGAAAGGTTGTGTGAGGTATTTGTTTTGTAACGCCATTTGTACCAGGCAGCGCGCTGCCGACTTAAATCGGAGGTGAGGGGGTGAGATCGAAGTGGAACGGAGAGCCCCCCTACCGGGAAATCGATTTCGGTTTCGTCTTCGTGCGTGCCGTGCGGGCGAGGCGAAGCTGCGTGGGCGGGCGAGAGAAAGTCTCCTGTGGCTGAGGCGCGGCCGGACCAAATGTCTCCCTTCCGGGCGGCCGGTGGCCCGCGGTGTCCCGCCGGTGTCCCGCTGGTGTCCTGTGTGGCTGAGGCGCGGCCGGACCAAATGATTCCCTTCCGGGCGGCCGTTGGCCCGCGGGTCCCGCCCCCGCCCGCTGGTGTCCCGTGTGGCTGAGGCGCGGCCGGACGAAATCATTCCCTTCCGGGCGGCGGGGCGGCGCGGTGTCCCGCCGGTGTCCCGCGGTGTCCGCGCGGTGTCCCGCGGTGCCCCGCGGTGTCCCGCGGTGTCCCGCGATGATGATGATGATGATGATGATGATGATGATGATGAGATGATGATGATGATGATGATGATGATGATGATGATGATGATGATGATGATGATGATGATGATGGTGTCCCGATGATGATGATGATGATGTTGATGATGGTGTCGATGATGATGATAGTGTCCCGATGATGATGATGATGATGTTGATGATGATGTTGATGATGATGATGATGATGATGATGATGATGATGATGATGATGATGATGATGATGATGATGATTCCGATGATGTTGGTGATGATGATGTTGATGGAAATGGTGTCCCGGCGATAATGATGTTGATGATGATGATGTTGATGATGATTATGGTGTCCCGATGATGATGCTGATGATGATGATGGTGATGATGATGATGGTGATGCTGATGGTGTCCCGATGATGATAATAATGATAATGACGATGTTGATGATGATGTTGCTCATGATGATGATGGTGCCCCAATGATGATGATGTTGTTGATGATGATGATGTCGATGATGATGATGCGATGATAATGATGATGATGGTGTCTCGAGGATGATGACGATGTTGATGATAATGTAGATGATGAGAACGATGGTGATCATGATTATGTCCCGATTATGATGATGATTCTGATAATGTTGCTGATGATGATGACGATGATTGTGTCCCGATGATGATGGTGATGATGATGGTGGTGATGATGTTGATGACGAGATGATGATGGTGATGATGATGATGCTGTCCCGATGATGATGCTGACGTTGATGATAATGTTTTTGATGATGATGGTGACGGTGTCCTCATGATGATGACGATGTTGGTGATGATGTTGATGTTGATGATGCCGTTGATGATGATGATGATGATGATGATGATGATGATGACCTTGATTGTGAGAGCGATTGTGATATCGATAGTGAGATCGATATTGAGACCGAATGTGAGATCGATTGTGCGATCGATTGTGAAATCGATTGTGAGATCAAGTGTGAGATCGATCGAATGAGATAGATCGAGTGAGATCGATTGTGAAATCGATCGAGTGAGATCTATCGAGCGAGACCGATAGTGAGATCGATACTGAGATCGATAGTGAGACCGATCGAGTGAGACGTTGGTTCCCCCCCCCGAACCTCCTTATCACCCGAAGGGTGGTCGTATAGGTAGATTATGCCGTCCACGCTGTGTCCGCTGTGCCTCGACGCGGAAGACACACAAAAGCATCGTTTATGGCAGTGTGCGGTGGTGTCGAGCGAGAGGGAGGAATTGGTCAACGACAAGGTGAGGAGGTGGGCGGAGGACGCGGACGACGTGCTCGCGTGCTACGGAGTTTTCAACCACCCTGCCGAGTCTTTCCCTCGCCCTTTTCAGTCGGGTGGTGCGCAGGTCGGATAGGTTTCTCCTCCTGACGGGGACTCCACGATCGATCACGCTTTCGTCGGGGATCTGTGCACGGACGGGTCATGCAGCAAGAGGGTCATCCCCGATCTCGATCGTGCGGGTTAGGCCTTCTCGCTCTGGCATCGTGACACGGGTCTCGAGATAGTTAGAGTGCGTGGGCCACTCTGGCCCCCGTGTCCACAGGCGGCACAGGCCGCTGAGTTTCACGCTTTCTCGATCGCGCTGCAGTGGTCGAGTGGTCGTTGCGAGTTGTACGTTGACAAAGCCTGCTTTGATTGTCATGCCCTTCCGTGGGAAGAGCAATGCTGTCCTAAGCGCGCGTACGCTGGAGTTGCTCAATGTTGCTGAGTTTTCCCAGCGGTGCAAAGTGCACAATGTCAAGGCCCACCAGTCCATCGACGGGGCCAAAGATAGCTGGGAGCTATACTTGCGTGAAGGTAGCCATACTGTCGACGTTTCGGCGAAGCAAGCTGTGTTGATCCACCCACAGCCCGACTGCGCGGAAACTGATGATGTAGATTGCAAGCTGGCCATTGCTAGAGCTGTGGGCACTCTGGCCGCGAAGCTCTTCCCACTTTGGCCGCGGCTCGATCTAGGGCCGAACGTGCAGAGGGTTCCTGTTGCCGCTCCTGTGAGCAAAGAGCAGGGTCCGACGCGCGCTTGGAGCTGGACGGGGCGTTTTTGGCAGTGTTCGAGATGTTTTCGTGGATCACGTTCAGCCGACAAGCCGCCCGCGAGTTTGTGCCGTGGTGCCGCGGACGCCGGGGCCCGTGGCATGGATGCTCCTGCGTTTTCAGTTCTGGGGCACAGCATGCTGTTTCTTGACGCCTCGGACGGCAGTTTTGTTTTTGTGTGCCTCAAGTACATGTTTTACATTGGAGGTGGGCAGGTTCGAGGCCTCCGACAGCCCTACCAGCCGATCCCGAAGTCTGGAGCTCAGGGTCGGAAGCGCGCCTGGAGGCAGATCGCGAGGGGACGGCATCCCAAGCGCGGAGACGTCACGGTCTCTGTTGGCCCCTGTGCCAATACGGGGGAGGAGGCCCCCACTCCCTCTGTTGAGTTTCCCCCCCTTCGGCATTGGAGGAGGACGATGCTCGCGAGAGGCGCTGGGCTGATTTGGCCCAGCGCCACCTCCCGGCCTCCTGGCAGCCACTTCGAGCCTGCCTGAGGATCTTGGGTGTCGTTGGCCAGAGCCAGCACGCGCCATTCTTCACCGCGGAGACAGCGACACGGATTAGGCATTTAGGAGCCTGCTCCATATTTGTCTGGTCAGTTGTTGGGGTCGGGGGTCGGGTCCTGTTCTGGGGTTGCCCCGAGTCAATACCCGCCCCGCCCTACCTCGTGGTGCCTGGCTGGATTTCGCCTTTTGTTTCTACTTGTGCGTTGCTGGCTTGTGACAGCACGCTGCTCCCCCCCCCGCGGTGGCATCGGCACTGTTCAGACTTTTAGGGGACTGCTCCATATCTGCCTGGGTGTCTGGTGGAGTCGCGGGTCGGGCCCTGTACCGGGGTTGCCCCGAGACAGCACCCGCCCATTCTGGCCTAGAACGGGCCCGTTCTTGGTTCGAATGGGGCCGTTCTAGTATAGAACGGGGTCGTTCTATACTACAACGGCCCCTTTCCTGCCCTGGCGGCGCCAGGCAGGGCTTCGCATTTGGTTTCTTCTCGTCCAGCCTGTGTGCGCGGGTCTAAGCTTCGAGCCTGCTTGTTAGAGGTCGGTTTCTGTTTTTGTTTTTGTTGCCTCGGGGGTCTCGCCCTCCCCTGAGGTGTCGCGCGGGCTGCGTGCTGCGCTGCGGCCAAAAAAAAACTCCCCCTCCTCCTCCTCCTCCTCCTGCTCCTCTTCCTCCTTCTCATCCTCCTCCTCTTCCTCTTCCTCCTCCGCCTCCTCCTCCTCTTCCCTGGTAGCCCCCCATTTCGGAGGTTGCCAGAGGTGATCATGGCTCAAGGTGCCCCCAGCTTCTGGCGCCACTCTGGGTCCCCAGGGCCTCGCGAGGGATGCTCTGGAGGCCATTTCGGCCTCCTTCAAAAAGCCAGGAAACTTTGGAGGACAGCTGGACCTCCCTGGCATCATCCGACCGCTGTGTCATCGAGCGCCTCCGTCGTGCCAGCGCGTGCGCCGTCGAGGCCAGAAAGTGGCGAGCTGGAGTCTGCGCGCCGTCGTGCGTGAGCGCGAGCGCTGCGCAGCATCTCGCACGCGAAGAGTGCAGCGGCAGAGCCACTAGAGTCAACCCGCACAGTAAAGATGGGCAACCTTCCCAAGGGTAGCCTTGCATCCTTGCCCTTCCGCCCCATCCTCAGCGACGCTCGCTTGCCAGCCTCGGTCGAAGTTTGCCAACATGGCTCTCCAAGGCCCTTGCGTCCTTTCCGCGCATCCTTGTGATACGGGTTGGCTGTCGACGTGCTGGCCGAGAGGCGGCGGCGGAGGCGGCGGAGGAGGAGGAGGAGGAGGAGGAGGAGGAGGAGGAGGAGGAGGAGGAGGAGGAGGGGGAGCGGCCGCCTCACCCACGCCGCGGCAGGCGAGCGGCGAGACGTCCACGATCGCCCTGTGGGGCCACTCGATGGGTGAGCGCCTCTGCCCGCCCTTTCCTTCGTGGGGTGCTGAAGGTGCCCCTGGCCCAAGGCGCCCGCAGCTTTTCGCTCAGTCTTCGGGGAAACGTATCACTCGAGTACGCAGGAGCTCGGATTCGCCGACGTGTTTTGACGAGCGCGTCCTGGATTTGAGCGGCTCAGTTTTCGTGGGATGTTTGCGGCTGGAGCTCGCGTCAAAGTTCAGACTGTGTCGCGTCATTTTCACGGTGGCCCCGTCGGGCCAACCCGAGGCCCTCGAACCCGAGTCGTACGTCTCCCCGACATTTGGAGCCCCTGGGGCCCCCCTGGACCTCGTGATGGGGTGTTCTGGAGGCCGTGAGGGCCTCCCTGCAAATTCTTGGGGGGCACCGTGGCCCAGGGGCACCTCCAGCAACGCCCGCTTCCCGGGTCAGGCGGTCGATGCCTCGAGGGAGTTCAGTGGTCAGAACTTCGTAGCAGCTGGTGGTGGCCGGCACCAGGGGGTGGCGCGAGGGGGGCCTTCTCAGAAGGCCCTGGGGGCTTTTCCAGATGGCTTCTTGGAAGCCTGCGGGCGCTTCTACGACGCTCTCCCTGCCTTCCAAGAAGCCACCTTGGCTTCTCAGAAGGTCCCCCTCATGCGCGCCGCCAAGGAAGGCACCACAGCTCTGTGAATCCAATGGTCCTCAGTGTCAGTGCGCCCCATTATTCTGCTGAACCTCGTGTACTTTTTCGTGCATTTGAACGGTTCGCCGCCTCTCCTTCTTAAGCCTCAAGGCTCGCGTAATGATAACGGTGCCTCCTGGAAAATTGCCTCTCGAGTGGATGCCCGATTTCTGTGTAGCCCGGTCTGCGTTCTCGCCGCCTAACATATATTCTAAATGGGGCAATAATCGCCCGGATCCACGGGGCTGGTTGGGCACGTACTGTCGAATCGCGTGGAGGGGGGTCTGGAGGAATACCAGGAGGAGGAGGAGGAGGAGGAGGAGGAGGAGGAGGAGGAAGAGGAGGAGGAAAAGGAAAAGGAGGAGGGGGAGGAGGAGGAAAAGGGGGTGATGGGCAAGCTCAGTCGGAAGGTGAATCTTCCCCCCTGATAATTTTCCCATGCAGAGTGCTCGCAGGCGTGTCAGGCATCATTGGTAGTGCTGTGCGTCTACATGTTTTGTTTATGCTCACGGCTTCGACACAGTGTCTGCTAAGGCTGCTATCAAGGATGCGGTCGATCGGTGGCGTCGTCAGGGGTCGCGGAGAGCGGCTTTCTTGCCCCCCTGTACTCAGGAATAGTTACAAGGAAGTTCTGCGAATGGCGGGTGTATGTTGGCACGGGCAGGTGGAAACCACTCGCTGATCAGGCGCTGGCAGCATGTGCCTGGACGTCTTCCAGAGCCTGGATTCCTTATCTTCAGGTTCCTTTTCCTTTGCCCTCACAGTATTAGAGGCTCGGATGTGGCCGCCAGCGTGCAGCAAGAAGTCCCATTGGCGATGCGGTCGATTGAGATGACGTCCAGGGGCAGGTGAGCGACGGGCGGGTGGCCAGGCGGGTGGCAGGCGCCGCAGCGAGCCGATTGGTCCCGCCTTTCGCTGCAAGGGGGGCCTCGCTGCGAAGACGGCGGCGGCGGCCTCGCCGGGGGCTCTTTTCTTCGTCTTTGTTTTGTGATCCTTAGATCACCTGCTGGAGTGGCCGTGGCGAGAGAGAGAGAGAGAGAGAGAGAGAGAACGAGGAGAGAGAGAGAGAGAGAGATATATATAGAGAGAGAGAGAGAGAGCGAGAGAGAGAGAGAGAGAGAGAGAAACAAAAAAAAACAAAGAGAAAGAGAGCGAGCGCGAGATGGAGAGTGCTGCAGCGGTGGCAACTCGTGGGAACCTTGTATGCCCTCGCAAATCCGCCTGTAGAGTAGACCCGCGCCGATTGCCGTCTGGGAACCGATGAGATAGCGCCGATGCGGCGTCGATTCAGCGTCGATGGGCGTCGATTTAGCGTCGACCAGCGTCGATTCGCAAGCGCCAGCAAGATGGCATGGGAGGCTCCCATGCTTAGCTGCCTCGATACGCCCGTTTTGAAACGCAACACGTCCCGTGTTCAAGACGTCCGTGTCAATACGTTGCGTGTCAGCTCCACGTATTGGACCACGTTTTGGCGAATGTATCGCGTCGGACCCGCGTATTCAGCCTACGTGTTGAGCTCCGTATCAATACGCTACGTGTTGCGTGTTGCGTATCGGGGCAGCTAAGCTCCCATGAGTTGCCACCGAGAGCCGCGAAGCAGCGATCCCATGCAGAGAAGGCGGCGCGCCGCGCCGCGCTCGCGCGTGCTGATCTGTCGTCGGCGGAAGCGCGCGCCTCCGAGGCGGCGCGCCGCGCCGAGGTGGATCCGTGTCCGGAGGAGGAGGAGAAGGACGAGGAGCACGAGGAGGAGGAGGACGAGGACGACGAGGACGATGAGGAGGAGGAGGAGGAGGAGGAGGAGGAGGAGGAGGAGGAGGAGGAGGAGGAGGAGGGAGGAGGAGGAGGAGGACAGGAGGAGAAGGAGGAGGAGGAGGAGGAGGAGGAGGACGCGGTGGAGGAGGAGGAGGAGGAGGAGGAGGAGGAGAGGAGAAGGAGGAGGAGGAGGAGGAGGACGCGGTGGAGGAGGAGGAGGAGGAGGAGGAGGAGGAGGAGGAGGAGCAGGAGCAGGAGGAGGTCGCGGAGCAGGGCGAGGAGGAGGAGGAGGAGGAGGAGGAGGACGAGGAGGCCCTGGCTCGGGCGCCGCAGGCTGCCGCTGCGGCCGCCGCCCTCCCGCTGCCGGGCCCTGTCCGTGTCTCTCAGTCCAGGCTGGTGACGCCGGAAACCCCCCGATGAGGAAGACGTCCACGGAGCAGAGACCCCTTCTGAGGAGAAGCCTTGCCTCCTCCCCCTCGTGACCCCCCGTCCGCTCGCCGCTACGCGCAACAATTGCCACAGGCATGTACTTGTTGAGGTCTGCGCGGACTTCTGGGAGCGGGCCCTGTGCTGGGTCCCCTCCTGGCGGCGCCTCCGGCGCCGCCGCGCGCCAGGCCAGAGGAGGGCCCAGCGCCGCATCCGGACATCCGAGGGTCTGCGCGGTGTCCTTGTCTCCTGAGCTGCCGCGGCCCTTGCCCCCAGGCCCGTGCTGGCCAGTGTCTGTGCCGAGTTTCCTAATGCGCAGTCAGGGGGCGGCTTCTCTCTTTTTGTTTGTGTTTGTTGTTTTGTGTGTTTTGTAGAAAACAACGAATATGTATGGTTCATACTGTTCGTGTTATTATCATCATCATCATCATCATCATCATCATCATCATCATCATCAGCATCAGCATCATCATCATCATCATCATCATCATCATCATCATCATCATCATCATCATCATCATCATTATTCTTATTATTCTTATTCCTCTTATTATTAGTATTATTAGTATTGTCATTATTATTATCAGTACGATTATTATAATTATTAGTATTATTCGTTTCATTATCATTATGAGTAGTGTCCTGTGTCTTCTTCGTGATCTTCGTCTTACTATTTGTATTGTTAGTGTCATGAGTACTCTCAGTATTATCCTCATCTTGATTATTCTTCTTCGCGGCCCCTGTCCTCTGGGGCTCCATGGGGGGCCCGTCGGCTTCGAGACACTTCTGCAGAGGTCGCCGAGACAATGGCACACGGCCCTGGCCACTGCACGAGCGCGCCGGCGCCTGGTCGCCTTGCGTCGTGAAGAAATCGCGGCGGGAGGACTTTCGCAAATTGTTCGGCCCCCAGGGGCCATCGCCGGGCCTCGGGAGCGTCAAAAAGCGACCCAGGACGAAAAACCGGTCCTGGGGAATGGGTCCAGACCTCTGGGGGTCGACGTTGTGAAAGAATCAGGGCGTCGGGGGTCTGGGCACAGGCATCCGAAAAGCCCACAGTCTTGGCGTCGCTCGGGCGTGTGCTTTTTTTCTCGGCAAGGGCCATCGAGGAGGAACTTGGGCCATCCTGCGAAACAGAGATGCGCACGGCATCGAGCAATGCACGTGGAATGGGCGTCCGAGCGATGGCGAGTAGATCTAGGCCTCCTGGATGGGGTCCGAGCAGACGGGGTCGGAGGATCGCGCCGCATCGCCGACGCCTCGGCGATGCGGATCGATGCGGAGCCTGATTTTCTCCAAGCCCACGCCACCGATGCATCGCCAGCGTCGGCGACGTATCGACAACACGGCGCGATCCTCCGACACCATCTGCTCCGTCCCCTCTGATTCGGGAGGCCTCCTCGTAGAGCTGCGGCCAGGAGCTCTGGCTCGGCGCGTCGCGCCGCTGGCTCTGGCCCACCGCGCTGCGAGGCGTCACGCTGTCCATGTCCCAGCCCCCGAGCGTCAACGTCCGCAGCCTTCCCGATCCTCCCGCCCAGCGGAGCGGTGCTTCACGCTGTCCGATTGCCAGGCATCGCGTCTCGCCGGGGCCCGCCGCGACACGCTATGCAAAAGGTCCTGTCCGTAGACCCCCATCGCGTCGTGAAGAAAACACGGGCGGACCGTTTTTTGCTGTATTCGACCTCGGGGAGCCTTCGCCAGGCGCATGGACCGTCAACAACACCGCTTCTGGCGCCGCCCCTGGCTCCGCCCGCCAGGGAGGGGTCTAGTGCCGGTCCAAGAAAGCTACGCGGACCTCCGAATATGCTTCAACAGTCGCTGGTCGGCTGAGAGTACGGAGAATCGGGAGGTGCTGAAGATGCCTGTGGCCCAAGGTGCCCCCAGCTTATCGCTCAATCTTGGAGCCCCTGGGGCCCTCTGGGCCTCATGAGAGGTGCTCTGGAGGCCCTGGGGGCCACCTTGGAAATCCTGGGGGCACCTTGGGCCGGAGGCACTTCTAGCAACACCCGAGAGAAAGACATGTGGTTTGTCGGGTGGCCCGACGGCCGCCCGCCCAGGTGCCACGACGGCGCTGCTGTACGGCGACCGCGACCCCACGATCGCCGCAATGGTGCCGCTGCGCGAAGCCCTCGTTTTGTCTCTGCCGCTGCCCCCCTCCCCCCCACGGCGCCTCTGCC